GATATAGGTCAGGGGCACAACACCTGCCTGTCAAGCACAAGACCCTGGTTTGACTCCTGGTTTAAAAAAAAAAAAAGAAAGAAAAAGAAAGAAAGAAATGAATCCGAAAATGCTGTAGGATGATAACTCTCACATTCTGGAAAAAGAAAAAACTAGAGAGATAGTAAGAAGCTCAGAGGTCAGCAAGAGTCAGGGCCAGGAGGAGATGAGGAGGAATGGCCAAGCACAGCAGAGGATTTTGAGGGCAGTGAAATTACCCTATGATACCACCATGGCAGATGCATATTGCTACACAGTTGTCCAAACCCACACAGTGTCCGTACCCACTGTGACCCCTAATGCAGATTGTGCCGTCCAAGGGGTGATGTGGCTCCAGCAGTGAGCTTGTAGCAAATGGACACTCTGGCGCGGGCTGCTGATAGAGGAGACTGTGTTTGTGTGGGAACAGAAGACAGGGCTGCTCTACTTTCGGTTTTGCTGTGACCCTGAAGCTGCTCTTTAAAAAGTCTATATTTTTTAAAAAGCTATTCCAACTCAGGCTTACTCTTTCCTTTTATTAAACCTATTAAATTAAAAATTATCAGACTGTATTCCTGGCCTTTCTTTAAAAGGTCATGGTTTAATCACCAAGTTGTATAGTCTTGTCAACAGGACTAGCCAACTCACTTAGGGCACCCACTGAACAATGAATGTAGAGGACCCCTTGTTTAACAAAATACTAAGAATTCAATCCCGTGATGGCAAAGCATTGAGTCAGGTACAGGGTTCTTTAAGAAAGCACAGGCCACACAGCCACAGAGCTAAGTCTGCATATTATCAATACCAAGAGGCTTATCAATGCCTTGAGTGTCCAGAAAGAGAAAGCAGAGCTGTTCAGCCTTTGCTCGCTGGGTTCCTGTTCCTATGCCACACATTTGCTGTGCTTAGGCCTTGTAGTCCATGAGCTCCCTCTTGCCTTGTCAGACCAGAGCTACTTGGTGCTTGCATTAGAGAGGATGGGACTCTAGGTGTTTGCTGGAGAAAGACTCAGGATCACATAGGTGAGGTGTTCAATTTAAGGTCAGTCAAGCAAAATGAAACTTGCCCATGAAAATAAAGATAGAACTGGTAAGTGATAAAGTGACATCTGCTCTGCTCAAACAATGTTACTGTGATGGGCAGTTGCCAAATGTCAACTGTTTAGGTATCTGGAATCATCTAGAAGCATCCCAATGCCTTATATTTATCAGGAAGCAATTCTGTGGTCAAAACTGTGGTAGCAGCTAACTAGAATTCTTTTAAGAGATGGAGGTCTTACTGTGTTGCCTGGCCCTGAATTCCTGGAGTCCAGAGACCCTTCTGCCTTACTCTCCCAAGTAGTTGAGACAAGAACATGCCACTGGGCCTGCCTTGGCAGCAATTTATCGAACATACTTTGCCATGACTTTAAGGCTCCTGAATATCAGTGCCAGTGCTGGGAAGTTCCTACACAGAGGTCACTGACCCCTAGAGTGTGTTTGGTTATTTGCCCCTAAATCAAAACGCTGGGTCACTGCAGTTTTCATAAACCCAGGGCTCCTCATTTGGCCTTCTATTGGGTCAGTGCACTGTTCTTATGTTATTAAAGTACAGGCTCAGCAGAAGCTGGGGACAGAGACAGGAATCCCATGAGGAGCCCTGGCTGAATACAGGCCCCCTCACCATTTTGCGTTCACCACCTTTCTCTCAGTGTGGGCGGAGAAGCACGCTGACCTTTAAGTCACACATTCCAACAAGTCTGGCCAAGGCAGTAGGATCTTAGCAGACAACTGAGAGTCTCGCCAGGGTGGAGGACCAAGGGTCTGTGATACCCTGCACACCTCTGGAAGCTTTGCTCTCCCTTGAGACAGAGGTGCCCTGGTGGCGGGCATTGATGCTGCTTCCTCCTGCTGCTGCTCCACAGCTAAGTGTGAACGTCCGAGGCTGAACTGCTGATGACCTCCAGGACAGAGCGGGGTGGAGGACGTTGAGGCTTAGGACCCTAACCAGAACAAAGTTCACAAATGTGTGGTGAGCTTATTACAAATTACAGATTTTTCTGGTTGACCCTGGTAAACAGATTTGTGCATTTATAGATTGTGCAAGGAAACTACTTGAGATCTAATCTCCATTCTGCTCTCAAGAGTTGTGTCTATTCTATGCACATTACTTTTTCTTTTTTCTTTTTGAGACAAGGTCTGGCTATACAGTTCACACTGGCCTTGAGCTCACTTTGTAGCCCAGGCTGGCCTCAAACTTGCAGTGATCCTCCTGCCTCAACCTCCCGAGTGCTAGGATCACAGGCCTGTACCACCACACCTGGCCCTATGCATTTTTAGCTTTGACCCATTTAATTCTCACAATCTTCACTTTACAAATGGGGAAATAGAGGCATGGTGTAAAGGTTAATCCTGTCAACATGAAGGGGTTAAAAGATACATACAGAGATGACTGCGCTGTGAGTGTGCTCACCTCATCCACTGATGAACCAATTAAGGAGTTCATAGGTGAACCAGCAATGAGAAAGTGTGGGCTAGGTGTGGGGAAGACAGTGCTTGGGGGCATGACTTTGAAAGGTGAATATTTTCTTGGCTCCTTATCACACTGCGTCCCAGCCACCACGGGATGTGTGGCTTTCTCTCCCATGCTCTTCTGTCACATATGTGCCATGGAGCTAACCATGAACTGAAGCATCTGAAACCGCGAGCCAAAAGAACCTTTCCTCTTTTCAGTTGTGTCCTTTAAGTATTTTGTTTCAGCAAAAATTATGACTAACACAGTGTGACTTGTGTAAGGAGACTCATATGGAAGGAAAAATAGAAAAGCCCAGGCAGACAGAAGGCAGAAGCTGTGTTCTTGATGCCTGCCCTGTGCCGTGGGCCTGCAGAAACTCTGACAAACATGGCAGAGAATCAAAGCAAAGGGATGGCTCAAGTTTGAAATCAATACAGGCCCTTACATGAGTTGTGTGACTTAGATGCCAGCCTCAGGTTGAGGAGATTTATCATTGTCACATAAAGTTTAGGCAGGAAGGGACGTGAAGCTGGAATTTGAACTCAAGTGTGTCTTGAAGGCTCATAGCCAGTTCTTCCTACCATCCTAAGTCAACAACCTTAAGACATCACATCTAGCTTTGATTGTTCCACTGCAAGCCAAGGAGGTGAATTTCACAAGGTGTGCAAATGCCAGGACCAAAGTAGTAGGCAGAAAGAACAGGTCTCCTAACTTTATGTTGAACTCCATAATTGGAGGCCTAGGAAAAGAACATAGTTTGTCCCAGCTATGTCTACTAGAAGAGTCATGAGAAATTGTTTAAAACAGCTCAAACAAATGACACACTTGGTAAAGTGACAAGTGTCTAAAATTACTGAAAAGGAAAAAAATGTTTCCACAGATGCAGGGTAAGCTTAGAAAAGATTTTTTTCCTAAAAGTGTGTTGTCCAGTTTGAGTGTAAAGAAATAAAAGCAGCGAAATAGAAAATGTTCCAGTGTGAAAGGGAACTAGGGAGGAAAGATGGGGAAAGGAAGGAAGAAAAAAGAAAAGAAAGAAAAAGTGCAAAGTTTTTGTAAATAAGAAGGGGAAGAGAGGTTGAAGGTAAGGGATGGGAATGGGGAAAAAAAAAGATCAAGATTACCCTGTCTCAAAAACAAACAAACAAAAAAAGATATACCATGTATAGGTACAAACTCCCTAATATGACTGTGATCATTATGTATATCTAAAATGTACTAATAAACTCAATTAGTTTTAAAAAGAAAGAAAAGGAAACATGAAAGTCAATAAAAGAGGGGGCTAGGGACATAGCTCAGTGGAATAAATGCTTGCCTGGCAAGTACAAGGTCCTGAGTTTGATCCCTGCTACCACCAGAAAAAAAAAAAAAAGTCAATAAAAGAATACTAGGAGCATGACAGACCATCATTAATCTTCTATTCAAATGGCAGTCTTGGCTACAACCGAAGCAAGAGGAAATTTTGTTCAAGGAGCAAACTAAGTCCGTAGGGATCACTCAGTTAATAAATGATTTAATTACACACCTGAATCTGCAGTCTAGTGAATGAGCCTACAACCACTGGCTTAATGGTCTGCAGTTTAAAAGTCAATTATAGCATGTTTTTACTTTTAAAAATTAACAAAAATAACTTCAACAAATGATTCTATATGTAGGCCAATCACTTATTTTCTTACACATTTTAATGGCATTAACCGGATGGTTTTCCCTGGCTAGATTTGATATGGGCACATGAATGAGGACAAAGAACAAAGAGAACAACAGAAGGAAAATCAGGCAGGGACATAAAGGAGAGAGGCACAGCCATGGCCAGGGAAAAGGAGGGACAGCCCATGTCTCAGTTACCTTCTCACTATGGAGACCCAACACCCCACACATACAAGTTAAGGGAGGAAAAGCTTCTTCTGGCTCATAAGTTCTGGACGGTTCCATCCACAGCCAGCTGAGTCCAAGACAGTGCAGCCTGGTGGACAGGCACCATGGATGTGACACAGTCCATGGCATGGAGGGCAGGAAGTGGAGAGAAAGAGATCAAGGGAACAGTAGAAAGGGACAGAACCGGGACTCACCTTGTGACCCAACTCTTCATCCAGAACCACCTCCTAGGAGCAAGTGTGCTACAGTCCCCATGACCAGTCACCTCCCACAAGGCCTTGGAAGAAAATTTGCATATAAACTAGACAACACTGGGATCAAAGTCCTGCTTAATTCAAATTCTGCTCTTCATCAATAAACTTAAGATAGTTGACCCCTGAGGTAGTGCCAGTAGGAAATAAATCTATATATGAAGTGATCTTAATCTTTTAAGTTATTATCCTAAACGTGTCTTGAATAACTTCATACTAGCTCCTAAATCTTCTTCGCTGCTTTTAAGAAAATTAGAAATCCTTTTTGTCGACCAAGCAGTTAATACAGATGTGATCAGAATTTTAACTAGTAGATATTAGGCAATAACACATTTTAATAACTACTATTGTGATATAGTCTAATAAAAATAAATTTATTTATGGAAAAATATACCATATTTCCTTGCTTGACAAAGTTTTGTGTCCAGCACAGGGGAGATCATGTGTTAAGATGAATGACGATTTGAAACTGTCTCATCGCTATTTGTTTATCAATAAAATTATGGGAAAAAAAGATGAATGACGAGTGCTGTAGTTTACAGTCACATGTCATGTGTGTATAACCAAGAATTAGCACAAGTGACATATATTCTGTTTTCAGGTTAGCTCATCGACCATGCCAGCACTCACTTCATGTATGCTGAAGAAGAAAACTCACAGGAAAATAGGTGGAAAAATGTCTACTCCAAGATGTCTCTTTGATGATTAAGTATGGTCTCTTAAGTGGCTTTCACAACCAACTACACTTCTGTGGAAGTCATAAAATAACAAGAAGTCTTCGAACCCAAGAATCGCTTTTAAAACAAACCCTTCCCTGACAACAAACACACATCTTTAAATATAAAACTTTAAATATCTTTGTTTTGTACATTCCAAAATGTGACTTCTTCACTTATGACTCTTATCATGTCATAAATTAACAGACAAATTGACAATTTCATTGTCACTGCTCAAGGGCTCTAATGTCCAGCAGTAGCCTGCAGTCTACTCTTCATTCTCCAAATTTATAAAAAAGTAACTTTGGAACTTCAGACGTGGTCAGCCTGCTGACAGTTGTTCCTCTTTCTCGGTCCACAAGTAAGACAATCCTTGTAGGAGTGCTGGTCCAGGGTGATGGAGGTCCCTTGGCATTGCAGCTGGAACAGGAGGCCTGAAATTCTCGCCTTCTCAGAAGAACTTAGTTAATAAGTATCAAGGGGTCATCACTTCCTCTCCTATAATAGGATGGGGGAGGAAAAAAAAAGAGAGCAAGGACTTAAAAGTCTTCACCAAGAACTAGGAGCAAACTCTATACTCCAGGCACACATAGGTCATGCTAGGGAAACTCGTAAGAGGAAGAGGAAGAAGGGCACGAGATTTGAGTAGAGGATTTCAGAAACAACTGTGCGCAGCTCTGCGTCCCTTAGAGTCTTCCTATCCTTTCGCCAATGAAGTCACACTGATACTGGCGAGGCCTCGTTTTCCTCCTTCACTGTGATAGAGAAAGTTGAATTTACATCTGTTCATTAAGCATGTCTCTCCAAAGAACCACACCACTTTATGCCTGGAAGAGGTTTCAGGGGCCACCTGGCTCTCCCTGATGAGATCAGAGGGGGTCAAGAAGTTTAGTAGTGGTCACAAGGCACACTTGATTAGTGGCAGGGTCCAAAACAAAAACAAAGAAAAAACAGGTGCTCTGATGATCAGGTTAGGCACCCTGTCAGCTGCTCAAAGGAGGACCACTGTGTGGGGTCGCCAGGCTGCTCTATTGAGAAAGCGTGAGCATATCCACGCCCTGTAAGAGGTAGAGCTGGGATAAATGGGTGCCCTCCGTCATGGTCAGCAGACAAGGGAGAACAGACCCAACCTCTGAGTGCCCAGGCGGCCTCTGTGAGGTCCTTCTCCAGTGTTTACTCTCCGTTCATAGCCTTCCTTTGATGTGTTTCATTCTTTGCTTCTGGCCTTGAAGCATATGAAGGTAAAGCTTTTGATGGGGTCAAAGGCACTGCTTCTTCTCTGGGTGCCAATTGCAATCCATTAACGCCCACTGTGACACGTGACCTTCACTTACTCTCTGTAGGGTCCTTCCCATCCCTGTGAGGTCGAAGCTTTGGTCTGAAAACTCCACTGACATCACCCTAGCTGCCTTCACCAAGAACTACCTTTTGGCCACACTTGGCAACAAACACTTCTGACCTTTTTTCCTTTCTTTTTGGTATTGGGAATTGAACTCAGGACCTTGCACTTGCCAGGTGGGCACTATGCCACTGAGCTATATCTCCAGCCCCTAAACACCTCTGACATCATTAATACCCTCTTTTTTCAAAACTTTCATCATCTAGTTCTGTTCAACAGGCAGATTGTTTCTTGGTGCCTTTCCCATTGGCCGTGGATCTTTCATTCCTGTAGTAGACACATGCTGTGTCCCACCAGGCACCTTCTGAATAACCCCAGAGGGCCACAGGCCCTCCTCCCCTCCCAGACCCAGTCTCAGAGACAAGGGCTCCAGGGCACTTCTTAAATAACTTCATTATTCTCAGGCTGCAGCAGCAAACACTGAACAGCCTGCTAGGGCTCTTTGCAGTGCAAACCAAGGATGCCAGAGAGCTGTCAGTTACTTCTCAGAAGCCACACTGCTTTTTCCAAAGAGCATTTTCCCCCTTAAAGTTAACTACATAATAAAGCAGCGACTCCGAGACACTTCCTCTATCCAGACTGCCTCTTAGGAGGCAGCTGCCTATTAAGAGAATTATGTTTTCTTTGTCCCAGTTTCTTCAGCAATAATTGGAGGCTCTGAGAAGATGAAATGTGATTTTGAAAACTTACCTCTTCTCAGAAAGCCTCATTTCATATTTACCAGACATTCTTTGGATATTCTCATTCCTATCATTTCAAATCCCAAGATGCTATACAAATTGATTTCCAGAAAAATATATCCTGTGGTTCTAAGTAGTAATTATGTGCTCCCATCTTCTTTTAGGAGTTGGATTTAGAGGATCCGTCTCAAAAAACACAGGTGTGGTGTAATTTATGTCAAGAACTCCCACTCCTGACTTCAGATTAAAACACATATGGGCACATCTAAGAAAAGTCATCTGACTCCAATTTACGACAAGGTCTACAGGATGTACAGGGTCTCATTATGTAGATCGGACTCATAGTGATTCTCCTGTTTACAGCTTCCCAAGCACTGGGATTATAGGCGCTCACCACCACACCCAGTCTCAATACCATCTCAGCATGCCCTGGGGGGAGGGCCAGCACAGCACATCGGGGATCGAACCCCCGTCTCTACATCTGCCTGAGCAGGTGCTTTAGTCCACTGAGCTACCTGGCCAGCCCTTGGACCATTTTCTTAAGAATTCAGACAAACAGTAAGCAAAGCACAGCTGGCCAGGGAACAGCTACTATTGCATGTTTGCCACCAAGGACAAACACAGGACTCCTGTTCTGCTTAAGGTCATAGGGGGCCATATACTGTGAAAAAACAGAATGTCCTTGGACAGTCTCAGAGTTCTACCTCCAACAAAAGAGCTCCGACGTCTTCCTTGGGCCATCCATCTAAGAGTCCAGTCTCTGGACTTTAGGGACATCTTTCATGCCTTGCTGAAGGGTCTTTTGATAACCCAAATGGATGTAGATCATGTAGGTTTACACACAACCTTGTTTTACAAGAAATAATTTAATTATTTGGGTAGGAGGAAAGAAAAAGAAAGTTGAAGTGTTTCCCACAGTGAGCTGATTTCAGAGCTGAAAACACCATTAACCTTGAATGACTTTTCCTTAAGCTACGAAGTTCACATCAGAAGCGAGGAGACTGAACATGGGACTGACCTTCTCAGGCAGCAGGTACAGGACAGGCAGGCCAGGGCCTCGTTTGTGGGCTGCTCCTTGCTGTTATTGTCCTTCAGGAATCCCTGCAGATCCGTCTCAGGAAAGCCATTCTGCTGATATTTCTTTGAAAAAACCACACAATGCTGTCATTTTATACAGCATGAAAAATTGCCAATAAACCAAATTCACCTTTACTGAAACAAAACTCTCCCACCAGCCTCGCTCAGATCCAAAGAGTACTATTAAAACAGTGATGAATCAGTCTGTCAAGTCCCAGAACAGCCAAACGAGGGCCCCCATGGGAACAGCAGACAACCTAAAGGAAAGCCCCAGGGAGTCTTGGAAGGATGTGTGTCCCACAGAGGATGCAGCAAGTAGACCAAAGTCTAGAGCTCGAATGCTAGGACTGAGACCAGAGGAGACTTCCAGTCCACATGCTACCACGCAGGTGACTCTACTTCCTCTGCTTTTCATGGAAGGTGGCTGCTGAGTGAAGGCTGAGTTTTCCAAGCAGACACAAAGACCTCAGGGCCCTCTGCTCTCACACCTAGTGAGGTCGAGTTTTTCTGCCCGGCCCTGACATCTCATCTCCCCATGATGCCAGTGGCCTGGCTGTCCTCTTCATTAGCCTGGGGAAAGTTCAGCAGGTGGCGACATCCAAGGAGACTAACTCGGCCCTCACAGTGCTCAGGCTCTGGATCCAAAGCAGGGCTCTCCAACCTCCAGCACCTGCTGCGCAGACACCAGCCCCTGAGGAAGCAGACTTTCTTAAAACTACCACTGAGTTCAGTGGGTCCAGCCTGGAAGGACAGGGCACACTGGGTGGCTTAGGAAAGAAGGGCACTACGCAGCCCTCAAGACTACGCTTTCATTATTTAAAGGAAAGCTGCACATACAAGTAACCATACCATCCTGTGTAATGAATGGCAATACCTGAAAATGTACCCTCTCAATCCCAAGTTCCAGGTGGCCACACAGCCTGCATTGGTCACTACCACAGCAGCAGGCTGGCTACTGGATTCAGCCCACCCTTTCTCTTTTCTGGTATCTTTCTTACAGCACCTCTAAAGCCACCCACTCCAATCTGGGTAACAGGGGCAAAATCCTAAATCCATATTTAAAATTAGCTTCTAGCAGGTAAAAGCTTTACTCTCTACAAAACCTTGGAAGCCCAAATACAATGATAACATTCTCTGTGACTCTTATGCTAAGTTCCAATGCATATGGAGGTTGCAGTGGTTTTGGGCAGCAAATATTGATACTTACCTTAATAGTATCATAAGAATCTGTAATAAGTGCGATGAAAAGGCTGAGAATCATGTATATGAAAAGACTAATGAAGGAATATAGGTACAGACGGCTGAACAGCCACACCAGGGTGCTCTTCTGTTGAATCTGAGCAAACGTTGCGAACATGTCATCGCCGTTGACCAGAGAAAACAAGCACTCGGCGACTATGTTCAGATTTTCAAACTGTAGGGAAGAAACAGAAATTAGCTTCTGAGATAAAGTATCCTACAAAGTAGAGAGATGTAATTAGCTTGTTAGCATAAACCTGCTTTTCTCATTAGAAGTAATTTATTGATTTTTAAGACAGCTAGAACATGACAAGAATAGGAAACTATTTAAATCACACTCTTAGAGATGCTATCTGGGTATTTCCCTTGGCTTCTTCCTAAGCACTGTTTAAATGCTTCTGGTCATGTTGTCTAACAAATTTGGACCCTGATTTTTTTCCTCTACTTGACACAAATATCTTGTTGTTATTCACACATTGAGAGTATTTATCAGGGC